CACATGCTTCTTGAGCGTCTCAGTTACCAGAACGGCTCTCACAGCTCTGAGTTGTGTGAGATGAGCCTTGGACACCATTTCATTCCAGTAAAGTACTCGCAGTCTCTTGGGTTGCATCCCACCTGGGTCAGCCCTTCCTGCTTTTGAACTTGCACAGTTCAAGAATTAGGTAACGGGGAGCATTTGATCCCAGACTGGCCACACGGTGACCTGAGATCTGGGATGCTCCTAAAATAACAACAGTCTATGCCCACATAAACAGTTGGTAGATGCTCCAGAGAGTAATTGGTAGAACAGTAGGGGATTAGGGCAGCTACAGAATGTCAGCCAGGCTGACAAAGAGGTTCACATGCTGTCACTCTGCCAAGAAGTTTGGATAATTATCTCTGTCTTCATTAGAGAAGTGGCAATTAAGAGGAGATTTCATTTGTTACCTAGAATATTTTCCTTCACAATATGATTCTGGTATAAATACCTTCACTATGTGTATTACTTAATACAGTTAATGTGTATCCATAGGACTGTTGGGAGTTCTTTATCTGTAGTGGCATAACTAAAGCAAAATAATTTCAGCATTTAGGATAACTATTAAGACAAATAAAAGTAAGAAATTAATCTATCTGTGCTATCCTGCCTTTCTTACACACCCCAAATCCTCCAGGTTTTTAGGAAGGTTTTTGAGCACATGAGATAGAAAATTGGGTGCTGGGAAAAGAGAATGAGGTGTGTTGGTTAGGAAGAAGGATTTGCAATTAACTGCTTACTGAACCCATCACTTCTGGCATAGCTCAGAGAAAAAAATGCCTTACCTTTTCTGTGCCTCAGCTTCCCCAGAGTAATATGAGAATAATGACACCTTTTTTCTCTCTTGTACATTCTTGTAGATCTCTGCAAAAGCTCTAAGCATAGTTACTTGTAGTTAGTTGAATCTTTTAAAAAAAACTTTCATAAATGTAAAGTTAATACAGAGATTATATTATCCACTAGGAAATTGTACACTGATTTTTTTTTTTTCTATTTGATCCCCATACTAATGGTATTTTCTTGGACGCTTTCTTAACAGGAAGCGGCACAGTAGGATTTCCCAAAGCACAGCCTGGGGATAAATTCATTCCTTGTCCTAAAATGCAGCTGCAGCTGTGCTTTCCCTGTAGAGTCAGGGCAGAAGTAAATAACTAAATTTTTTTTTGTTACTGAACTCCTCTTGTTACTGATTTTTACTCTCTGTAAAAACTCAGAAATCTACACAATTGTTTCACTGTGATGTTGATATCAGAGACTCTCTTCCAATGCTTTGTCCCTACACAATCCTTTTCATCTGTAGTGCTCAAAAAACCTCATAAAAGTGATAAATGTCCTCTATTGTCATTCTACAGATGGGGAGAAAAAAGAGGGATAGCAAGATTGGGTCCTTGTTGCATAGCAGAGCTAGCAATACAGTCCAGCTCCCCTGGTTCCTAGTTCAGTGCTTGCTTCGTTAACCACACTGTGTTCATATTTTGCAGCCATACATTATTAAATGTATTTATATGATTTCTAATGGTCAGCGTGGCCCAAGGAGTCTCTGGCTACCATTTCTACGTATGGGAAGTAACCGTGACATGGAAAATAGGGAAGCATAAATCTGCTTTTGGAGGTTTCAAAACACGAGCACGTGATACTGACATTAAAAGGGTTTACTGCTCTGTCTCTGGAAATACCTCTCAGCTGTACCAGTGTTCAGCAAAAGCTTCAAGAAAGAGAAAAAAGGGTTAAAGGAGAAAGAGCGGAGGCAGCACAGCTCAGCACAAGCTTTTAGTACTGAACTAAAGGAATGAATGTCTCTTGGGATGGCAAGCTCTTGCTACTGCAGAGATTTCTCAGAACAGAAACCAAGCTTAATGTCTGTGAGTCCTAACCCCACAGACCAGTAATGAGAAGGGAATCTGTAACTTGGAATTCTGCTGGGGAGTATAGTTGTCTCTGTGCTGGATTTTCATGCTCCAGTGAGTTCACACACTGCACGGTGAAACCTTTTCTGTATTAGAAATAGGACACTGCTTCCTGTTCATCCATGTGCGCCTTTAGCTCTCACATCTTGTCCAGCAAACTTCTGGCAGTCGTATCAAATGACGTATAAACAGTTTGTTGCTTTCTTGGGGTGGCGGCATGAAAATGGATTAGTGATTTATTCAATGTGAGATGCCTGAGAATTCAAGCTGAAGTAATTGCATAGCAGTCAAGCTCTTTTTTTTTTTTTCTTTTCTTCTTTTATCATTATCAGATGCTTTCTCCTCTCAGGTACTAGAATTTGATCTTTGTCTTTACATTCCTTTCTGGCAAGCCCACATTTGCCGCTCTCTTCATTGGCAGTATGATCTTCACCTTCTCAGAAACCGTGAGCTCAGAGCTATCTGATAAAGCTGCCATGGTTTTCTGCATGCCATCATATAGCTAGAACCTTTAATGCCTTTAACATTTTCCCTGAGGAGAGACGTATTTTACTCATTTGTTTGCACCTTCTGACAGGGTGGACAGGACAGAAGGAACTGGAGTGTGCTGGAGGAACTGGATTACTTCATGTACTTAAAATCTGCCTTTAAAAATGGCACAAATGCAGGATTCATATTCTTTTATCTGTCACTCCCTTTGCGTGAATGTCTAACAAAATACAATTAGAGCTGACCTTCTATTGACTGTTCTCAATCTCTCCTCTCTTTTTATTCTGATGCAGGTAAAGGATTTTAGAAATTTCCTTGGGAGCATTCTCTTTCTTCCTAACTTGGGGTCTGACACTTACTTGTTACTCTTGCTGCCTTTGTCAGCCCTATCTAGGACTCCAGCTCTCAGATCCTTCCTCTCTAAGATCAGAGAGAGTATCAGTTTGGGTAGGCTAGGAAGATGCATCTGGTACATCCATTGAAAAAAAACATTGTTCCAAAAGAAGCCTGCACAAGCCAAGAAAATGTGCTTTCAGTTTTTCCTGGTATTTTCTGATGTTAAAATCGGATGGCCAGGATTCGTATTTAAGCACTGTTGCCAGAGCCTATACAAATTCCTATTTAAGCAAAAGTGCTAAGATGAAGTATAGCATTTAATCATTACAATGAAGAAACCAGAGCTTCCACATAAAAATCATATTCCAGTGGTACTGTAGAGAAACTTCTGAATGAGAACTTCAGGATTTAGCTTTGTCATTTTAAGGGACTGGAAATGAAAAGCAAGTTTGGGAGGAGAGTGTAAATGAAAGTTATGGCAGAATTAAATTCACATTGTGTATGGATTAAAAAATCTGGAAAACACCTCAGGAATGCAGTAGAAAATGGGAGCAGACGTGGAGAGAGAATAATAACATTAAGCCTAATTTTGATCTTCCTTACACCCAGTCAATGCTGAGTGACTAAAAAGCAACTCTGTGGGGAACAGGAAGCCAATTGCACTAAATGGGTGACTTCCAAATGGGCATGTTGTAGTAGTTCTATTTTTTATCTTCAAGTTTAATTTCCTTCATAATCTGTGTGTGAGAAGAGAATCGTAGCTTTCAATAGCGGGGCAAAAAACCCACTCAACACATTATGTTTTCTTTTTCTAGCAAATAAGTGGGATTTGAAGCTGAGATTGGGATTCTTCCTGAGGTTGAAGCTTTGTGGGCAGTGAGAACACTTATAGTACTTAACATTGTATAGTATAGAGATAATTGGGTGAGGTGTAAGCAAGCTGTTTTCTTCTCAGCAGGATGTGGTAGCTCCACATCTAGACTACCTCCCTTGCCTGATTTAAAATGAACCCGGACATCTGTCAGTGTCATACAGAACAGATGTAACTTGCATCCATGAACAGCCGTAACTGCGCAAAAGTTGGGACGCCTGGATTCATGATCAACTTAAAGAATGTATTGGGAAAGTCACTTTGCTTCTCAGTGGTTGGTTTTTGACTTCCCGTTGTCAAATCTGTCGAGTACCTTTAAGACTATCAATCCTTACCTTGGCTCAGATAGTAAAGCCCTTTGTTAGTTATAGAACAGCTGGTTGTGAAAACAACACAAATTGAATGTGTCTCTTGTGCTTTCTCCTCTAAGCAGAAGACCTGCTGGTTCTCACTGTTGCCACCAAGCAGACTGAGGGATTCCAGCGCTTTAGAAGATCAGCCGAATTCTTCAACTACAAAGTCCAGGTGATGGCTAGCAGCCTCAGCGATGGTTGGTCAAAGGGAATTTTGAAGTGTAGAATGGATAAGACTTGGCCACAAACTGATTAAATAAAGGCCCAAGAGAAGGCACACCTGCTCACGTCGCTGCAAAATACTGTGACTGGGGCATTTCTGCAGCAGTCTTTCTTATTCCATCCCGAGTATTAGCTTGAGATGAGATCCATAACTACTGCTGAAGGGAGCCCCATGGCACTTTTCCATTGCAGTGCCAAAACACACAGTACAGAGTGTGCTCCTGTCCCTGCTGCTGGGAGTGCTTTGTTGTGTGCTGTGTGTTACTCTGACTGTCCATCCCAGGGAATGGTTCAGAGGCTGGCATATATACCCAGGCCATCTGTCCTGATACCGTTTTTTTGTTGTTGTTGTTGTGATTTGTATGGGGGTTTTCAGGACTAGTAAGGTTGTGGGTGGTGGTCCTTTCCTGTGAGTCTTGCTGGGAGAGTGACCTGTTCAGTAGACCTTGTGCCTGTCATTCTTTAGGTGCTGGGGCTGGATGAGGAATGGCAGGGTGGAGATGACAAGAAGCCAGCAGGAGGTGGGCAGAAGGTCCGTCTCTTGAAATCAGCTTTGAAGCAGTATGCGGATAAGGAAGATTTGATCATCCTTTTTGTAGAAAGGTAATGGGTTGGAAAGTATTTGCCATGAACTGAATCATAAGGCTGTTTGGACAGGTTCTCGCTAAGAAGAAATTAACTGAAGTAGATTGCTTTTGGAAGGTGTATCCAGACCTCTCTGTCCCCCGTCCCCCCTCCCCCCCCCGAATTCTCTGCAGTTGCCTGAAAGTTGCTGAAAGCTGCATCCGTGGCAGCTGGGAAGGTCTGACCAGAACAGGCTGATTCCAACTCTTGCATAAAGTTGATAGCATTATACCTGCTTCTGCCAGGGTGGAATTTGGCTGCCTCTATCTGCAGAGAATGAGCAGACGATTCTGTGGATCTAGGCAGGCCTTTCTTACTAGAATTATTTGTTTTATAAGGTGAGGCAGGCTGCAACACAATCCTGACAGCCAAGAATTAATCTGCCAGAGAACTGTGGAGAGGGAAAAGGACAGTTTGGAGTCCCAGTGTCTTTTCATGTGCCCAACAGTAGGCAGGGCTGGAATGCCCATATCTGTCTCTAGCTCCCGTGGGAGGGAGATCATCTTTTGCAGTTCTGAGTGTCTACATGTGTTTGCAGAAGAATGATTAATCTCCGGTATGAGCAACTTTTCCCTCACCAAAATGAGTTTGAAGTATGCAAATCCTCTTGCAGAAAATGCAAGTCTCATTCTGACAGCGTTGCCTGGGAATTAGTCAGTTCTACCCAATACTGAAGCGATAGCAGCTGGAGTGCAGCACCCAGTGACTAGCGTCCATTATAGGTTCCTCCTGGAGATTTGCAGGAAGCTCTGTGGAGAGTGGCAGGATGCCAAAAGACATAAAAAGCATGACCTAGGGGTTTGTTTAATCTAGAAAGGAATGGGAGAGTAATTCTTCCCTCAATAAGTAAAAGATCATTACAAACAGTGAGGGCACCAGGGCTTCACAGTTCCAAATAGGGGAAGAGCAAGAAGAGATCAGCATGTTTTCCAGTTTGGAAGGTTTGGTTTTATTATCACTGAAAACTCTGTAAAAGTAAGAATGGGTGTAAGTTGCCCCAAGCCAGTGCAGAGTCTTCTGCAGTGGAGAGTAACATCTTCTGCTCTGTGAATAAGATTGCACTTTATTAGCTACAATTATGACAAAAACGGTCATGATACTGTGAAGTGGAACTAAAAGAAGGGGATTCCTAAAGAATTAACTGTTCCTAGAAACTTTTCGTGTGACGTGTTTTTCTGACTCCATATGTTTCTGTCTCTCTCGTCTGTCTTTTACTCTAGCTATGATGTACTCTTTGCTTCGGGCCCCACAGAACTGCTAAAGAAGTTCAAACAAGCCAAGAGCAAGGTGGTCTTCTCAGCAGAGAACTACATTTATCCTGACAGAAAGTTGGAAGCCAAGTACCCTCAGGTGCGAGATGGAAAGCGCTTCCTGGGTTCTGGAGGTAAGATGCAGAACCTTCTTTCAGCTGAGAACCTCTCTCAGCTTTTTCCTCCTATTAGAAGGCCTTTGGGAGAAGTAGCAAGCAACTGGCTGTTGAAAGCATCTGTATAGAAGATGGTGCAAACTGAAGCCCTGTGCATAACTGGCCCTAACTGGGAAGACTAACAGTGCTCCTGCCTTTTGCCTGCAGGAGGGGACGTAGCTATGAGTTGCAAGCAGGAACCTGCTCCCTGTCCCTTCTCCCTTTTCAGTGAGACTTGTCATTCAGGGTGTGGGTATCTGAGCTTTTCTGGTGCTGAAGATTACAGATTGAAATCCTGGTGTCATTCCATGTTGGGAAGTGTGGTCTATACATGCTTTTGCTGAAAGCTGGTGTATCTCTGTGGTACTGCAGAGTGGAGTGAGACTGTGTGTGAAAGAAGTGAGAGTTTGTGTATACAGGAGAATGTTCCTTTTTTGGTTGTCTGGGTTGAAACACCTCTTCATGCTTATTCCTGCAGGCTTCATAGGTTACGCTCCAAACCTGAAGAAACTTGTGGAGGAGTGGAAAGGGCAGGATGATGACAGTGATCAGCTCTTCTACACAAATGTCTTCTTGGATCCAGAAAAAAGAGTAGGTGTAGCTAGATTTTGGGATTAGGTGTCGTCTGAGAAACATTTCTGTGCAGTATCCCTGTTGACAGTCAAAGAAGTTAATCACATACATATTGCCCCTTAATTACTGCTCTGGCACCTTTACATGGAAATGGCCAGTAGTACCTCTAGTTACCCATTTCCACTCTGCAAATTTGCATTCTAGCCACTACCCCTTGTTCTGTTATTAGCAGTTTTTATCTTTAAGTTCAAAATGTGAATAGGAAGATAGGTGTCTTAAAACAATTCTTACTGGAAACTCATACCAGTGTCTGTATGTGCTGATATTTAAAGCTATTGAGTGTGGCAGAACTAACCAGCCTCCTCCAAGGGGCTGTGAAACTCAGACTTTAACTGTGTATCTTCCCTGCAGAATGCAGTGCTGACCGAGAGGTACCCAACATAGCACTAAAGTGTGTGGTAGGTAAAGGGGCAGATAAGGCCTGACCAGATTTGAGGCAATGAAAGGGACAAAGGTTCACAGCCGCATAGCCACTGTTGTGCCACAGGACAGGGACTGTAGGCACCACAGTGGGTAGCCATGCTGGAGCAAAGAGGCTGCCACTGCCTTCAGCAAATGCCTCCCGATCCTGGCCAGCAAAATCTATGTCAGCCTACGTAGCATGCCATGGAACATCATACAGCACCCTGGAAGCATAATTGCCATTCCAGCACTGTGTGGTGCACTGGCCAGTCATCCACCCCACAGGGTGATTCTGCGTCTGTTGTCCCTGCCCAGTTCTGCATTACACAGTGCAGTCTGCCCTGAAGGATGACACAAATGCATGGGAACTAAGAAGTCAAACTAACAGTAAAGTCAAGAGGAAGCGGTAGAAATAGGAAACTGTTTTCAGACTGATTAAAGAAGGAGTTATGCTTTTCTACAAGCAGGGCTGGTAAAAAATTCAGAAGAGCTGCACTTTTTTCTTTCCTCAAATCTGAATATGGCCCATGCTATTTTAACGTGAACAGTTCCTTTAATGTTCTCATCTGCAGTTCTGGCCCTATGCCACACAAAGGCTGAGTAATTCCACTGACTTGGCACTCAGGCAGTGGATGTTAGCACCCTACTGTCCTTTCCAGTAATCAATCGTAATAGATGCCTGGAGGGACACTAAGTTAAGTCAGAGCTGGACTTTAGTCTGACAAAAATCCAGTCTGAGTGTGACTTGCAGCAGGGGACAAAACCAAAAATTTCCCAAGCTGGCATTGCACCCGTACTGTGTTCTGGTTTGACACTGGTATGTGGGGCAACACATGGGGTAACGCTTGCCCTGTGGATAGATGGCAAGAAACTGCCTTCACAGCAGATGTTTTTGCTGTCTTGGCATTCCTACATATTATATGTGGGTTTTATATGACTGTGCTGTAAGTGTACTTCATTAATATGCTGCATATTATTATTGGCACACCTACAGCAGCTTTAAAATGTTTATTTGCATGGTTTTGTCTAATATAATAGGTTTAAATTGTTTTAGAGAGTATGGAAGTGATTACAGGAATGTGATATAGCTTCTCTTAGCCTAGGGTCTCTCACGTGTAAAGAATGGATGCCCACTTGTGTTCTAATTAAGGTTATTTGTCTCATTATTTTAAAGGAAAGTATCAACATCAGTCTAGACCAAAGAAGCCGGATCTTCCAAAACCTAAATGGAGCATTAGGTGAGACAGACGAAGGAAGCTCATTTCTCCTTGGAATCCAACTACATGCTGACACTAGAAATAAAGTTGTGTTGTGGCTGAAGGGATTAAATTTCAGAAATTCCTGTCCCTCCAGAATAAGCCTCAGTAAAAAGCCTCTGCCAGAGTTCTGGGATTTATTTGCAATTCCATCTAGGCTATCATTGCAATTCCCTCTTTACTTGGGGGAATGCAGGTCAGGTTTTCCATCTTACACCTCCTTGCCACTTTGATCTCCAAGTGTGTCGGATTGCATTAGCCTTGGGGATTGAAACTGGGAGGGACTTCAGTGCAAGTAATAACACACAGCCCTGCCTAAGGCTTGCCTGTCTTTCCGCTCCAGAAGTGTGTATGGAATGCTGCAGAGGGTGAGATGCAGCCAGACACTGCCTGCGAGCACTCGCTGACCGGACCAGGCTTCTGACCTGACCTGCTGATTGATTGATTTTGCTAGTCCTGGCAAAAGTGATTCACTTACTCTCCTGACACCACTGCCTAATGTTTTCAGTTTATAGTCTTGCACCACTCCATCTTTATTCCGGTCAGGTAAAAAATGATAACGGCAGAGTAGTTTTTGGCTCCTATGCTCATTAAAACAATGATAGACTGGAGCTTGGATCTGTACTAGTCTGTTTTCCAAAGGATTTTGTGTGGCTGTGTTGAGGAGACGTCTTGGATGATGTCTGCCAGGAGTGAAAAAGAGAGACAGCAGGTCCATAGAATGCTTAGGTGAGAAGGGCTGAGTCCTCCCTGGCCAGTGGTAGCTGTTCCTCACAGTGCAATTTGTCAATGCCCAGTTTTGAAAGACTGTTTCAGTGTGGCTTCTGCCAGTTCCCAGTAGAAGGTGTATTTGTCAGTCCAGCAAGCTACACACCGCCCAACTTCCCAGCCATCCTCCTGTTACCTCACAGGATCATTCTGAACATTTTTTTCTCCTTTCTGGATATGGTCTGTAGCCCTTAAACTATTTGTGCGTGGTTATCCACGTCCGTGCTTTCATCTTTTAGCAGCACAATGCCCCATTTCTGCTGAACAACTGCTGATTATTGATAAAAGCCTTCCTCTGATAATATGATGGCAATGTCATTTCCAGATGAGGTAGTTCTGAAGTTTGAAAACTCACGAGTGAGAGCAAGAAACTTGTTATATGACACTCTGCCTGTAGTGATTCATGGAAATGGACCCACCAAGGTAAGTGGGCATCCTGAGGGAAAGATTTGCTTTGTATTTCTTGCAAAGTGGCCCTTTAGGCTCGAGTATATCAGGTTACTGTCTTCCCACACACTGACTTTCCCTGTGTACATTTACATTTGAGAAACAATAAGCAGTCCAGGTCCATAGCAGCAAGATGGGTCTGGTTCAAAGATCAATGTGTAATCAGACCCTCAGGCTGTCATACTTTTTGGATTCTTTAGTCCAAGAAGAAGGTAAATGAAGTTCTGATGAAATGTGATGTTACACTGTGAGTGGATGCAAAGAAACTGCCCTGCCCTGTAACATGGCAAATTGCCTTTTGCAGCTGCAGTTGAACTACCTGGGAAACTACATTCCTCAAATATGGACATTTGAGACTGGCTGCACTGTGTGTGATGAAGGTCTGCGAAGCCTCACGGGGTTTAAGGTAAGGCTGATGTATTCAAAACTCTCAAGACAAGTCTTACAATTACAGTGGGATCTTCTGTGTCTGATGTGTTACCTGAGCCACCACTTCTCTCCTTTTCTCCCTGAATGTAGGATGAGGCGTTGCCAATGATTCTGATTGGCATTTTTATCGAGCAGCCCACCCCATTCCTCTCCCAGTTTTTCTTGCGGCTTCATAACCTTCATTACCCAAAGCAAAGAATCCAGCTCTTCATTCACAACCATGTAAGTAAAGTTGGCCTGTGATGGTCTTACCAAATGCAGGGAAAATGTATACCTCCTCCTGTACTGTAGGCACCTTCGCAGCCTTTGGCTAGACTTCCAGGCTCTGTAATCCCAGTACTTACCTGCAACAGCACCTATAAGATAGCTCCATCCAGCTGTAAAGATACGGAGTTGGGAAGAACTGTTGCTCATCTGGTTTGGTATTTTCAAGAACAAGAGGCTAAGCAGCCTGGGATGAACCCATCTCATCTGTTTTTCCTTATTTTTCCTTTGGCATAGGAGCAACATCACTTGATGCAGGTGGACTTTTTTGTTAAAGAGCATGGCAAAGAATATCTCGCCATCAAAGTGATTGGACCAGATGATGAGGTGGAGAATGCTGAGGCGCGTAATTTGGGCATGTAAGTCAAGAGGCCATGCACGATGGCTAGCAGAGTCAGCCTGTGGCCAAACTAAGGCAGTCCAGTTTTTCTGAGAATCATCACTATCTAGTGGATGCTTCTAGTCTTTCAGTCATTCTCTTCTTTCAATTTTCCTAGCATTAACTCCCCATGTCCATTATATATTGGGAAAAAATCAGCCCCAATACCAGCTCCCTTTCTCCAGTTTCAGAAACCAAGTTCTCACTGGTCCTTTGCTCTGTTAGAAGGATAGTCCTGTACCTCCCACCCTCATCAAGCAGTCTATACGCCCAGTCATAGATCACAAAGAATATGCACCTGTATCTGAAGAGAAGTGTAGTAGTAGAACAAAGAGCTAGTGGCAGAATATTTTCCTGTCTGTGATCAGGTGTGAGTTTGAGCTCAGGTTTGAATTTGGGCCAACTGTAAATGGGAACCTCTTCAGTTTGTGCTGGGGAAACAGTTTGCTAAATGTTGATTTTCTGTGTCTCAGTGTGTGCTGTTGGATACCGAATCTGATGTGCTTGTACAATGCTAGCCTTCTGGGTTGTTACATTAAACTGAACTTTTCTGAGTACCCAGAAGACGACCTTTAGTCTACAAGGTGAGGGAATTCCTGGTGTTCTGTGCCTTGTCTTGGTCTGTTCTAGGAGGATTCTGATGTGGCTTTTCTTGTCCTCTGGCTATAGGGATTTGTGCAGAAAGGATCCTGACTGTGACTATTACTTTAGCCTGGATGCTGAGATAGTTCTGAAGAACACAGAGACTCTGAGGATCCTGATCGAACAGAACAAGTGAGTTCTTTTGTCTGAGCAATCCTTACTGGTCATCTTTCACACGAGGAATACAGGGAGCTCTTTTATCACTGAGATGTGTAAGGCACTAGGAAAGCTGTGTCAGAGATGGAATGTTAGACAAACACCTCTTATTTGGTCTTGTTTTGCTGTAGTTGTAATCCCTGGATTTTAGGCAGTGGATGTACATCATCCCTAGTTGTCTTTATATAGTCGTAGAACAAATCTGATTCTAAGAGATGTGCTGCAGGGTGCAGTTAGGTAGGAGACTGTGACTTTATTTGCCCTTTCTTATGTGGAATTTTATTCCAACAGACTTAAGAGAAGCAACAACCGTATAAGTGAGGGAGAATCTAACTCTTACAGTCCTGTGGTTTGTAAATCTTTTCCTTTTCTTCCTGTGGTAACATCCTGTCCTGCAATTCCTTTTTCATTTGTGCTCATAGGCTGGTGATTGCCCCGCTGGTAAGCCGTCATGAGAAGTTGTGGTCAAATTTCTGGGGAGCCCTGAGCCCTGATGGATACTATGCCCGCTCAGAAGATTATGTGGATATTGTTCAAAGGCGGAGGGTGTGAGTATGCAAAGAGAGTTTATTACTGATATAATCCCTCAAATGTAAAGCTCGTTGCAGTTCATTATCATCAAACCAGCTAATGTCAAAGAACTGGAGAGCATAGCTGTCTTTGTGTATAGAAAAGGAAAAGAAGTCCGTACTCCCATTCAAAAGCTGCTCTATGTTCTCCCCTGAGCAGAGACCATAACGTACTTTGGGCAGGTTTTCTTATGATCAGTGTAAGGATTTGAGAGTCCTGACTCTGCTGAAATCACTTCATCTTACTCATGTTATGTTTTCCCACCTGTGGATTATAGTTAATGTGATCCTTAAAATCCTGTAAAGTGCTGTTTAATCTTTATCAGATAGTCTTCATAAAATACCAGGTGATCCTTGAATGGCAGATTCACAAAATATAATTGTTGGTTCATTCATATCCATTGACGGGCCCGCTTTTTTTTTTTTTAGGCCATTATATGTGCAATAAATGCTGGAAATCAGCTTATGCACTTCTGGCTGGTTCATTTTTTTTTTAAGTCACTGAAGAAAAATATGTTGATCTCTCTGGGAAGAGATTCAAGCCATTAATTATATCCCTAGCAAAACCACACAGTAGCAATTAATTGCTTTCACAGTAGACCAGCATTTGTGCAGCTTAAAAGCTCTGGGCAATATAAGCGATTTTTCCTGGCATGACAATTCCTATTGGTATGGTTTCTCCTTACTATTCTGAGTTGGCTCATTTAGGCAAGCCTGGCTGATACTGCAGTGCTGACTGCCATCCTGTCAACCCCAGTTTCTATCTTAGTGGTATTTCAAGTCTTACTTTCCTACCCCTGTGTTTCAGTGGGCTTTGGAATGTTCCCTACATCAGCAGCGTGTACATGGTTAAAGCCAAGGCTCTGCGATCGGAGCTTGACCAGGGAGATCTCTTCCACAGTGGCAAGCTGGATGCTGACATGGCTTTCTGCCACAACGTTCGGAATCAGGTCAGTCGAGGAGAGAGAGGCTGGCAGGGGAGAACTGCATGCCAGGGTGAAGTTGACAAGATTAAGTAGTTTCAAGGCATTCAGCTCTGCCAGGGCATGGAACAGGATGAACTGGCATTATTCAGTACTGTGCAGGCTTGGGACAGTGTGGGATTTCTATCTTGCTGTGAAACCACACAGAGCCACGGACCACTAAATGCGGATAACATTTTTGTTATTGGGCCTATTTGGGGCTTTTCTAAATGGGGTTGACAGACTAAGAAGGAAGAACCTAATCTCACAGCAGCTCTTACGCTCTGCTTCCAACCCTGGCTGACAGGAGGCACAGAATTACTCGCTCAGGCTATAACCAGAGCCAGGGTGGAATTTAAACTGAGGGCCTACAGGAGAAAAAATGAGTAAATGAACAGCTTGGGCAGAACCATCATTGAGGAACTGTCCAGTGCTTATATTTCATAGGGGCTCACAGAAACGTGAGGCCTGGAAATAAAGCTTGATTGTTTCCCTCTGTCCTGCAGGGAGTCTTTATGTACCTGACAAACCGGCATCAGTTTGGACATATACTGTCCCTGGAGAATTATCAGACTACTCACCTCCACAATGACCTCTGGCAAATATTCAGCAATCCTGAGGTGAGAGAACCTGCATGCTCAGCAGGCTTAGTAATGTGGCACGTGACAATTTGATGACTAGCTTCACCAATAAGGAAAGTCCAGGCTTGAGGTGAGGAGCATAGTCACAGAATTTAAAGAGAGGGTTTCATGTGATTCATAACATCTGAATCTTCAAAGCCTGTGAAATACTGCGGTGTGAGTGCCTGACCTTTCCTTGCCTTTCTAACTAAGCCCCACAGAATGACAGGTTTGCTTTTCTTTTAACTGCAGGACTGGAGAGAAAAGTACATCCATGAAAACTACACAGCAGCTCTGAAAGGGAAATTGGTAGAAATGGTAAGAAAACATCGCTCTTATCCATCAAAATGGGAGATTAGCATCAGGACAATGCGTGTGTTACCACTATTGACATCCTCAGGAATAAGCGGTCCAGCACGACCTCGTAGTCTTTCAAATCCAGAGGAAACATGACCTCGAAAGTATTTTTAGAGCCAAATCATTCTTCGAGAAGCACATCTCCAGCTCTCTTAAGTGGAAGTGGGGCACATGTATCAGAAGACAAACTTCTATCCTCAATATTTTAGTTACTTTCCACTTAAACTGACTAAATGTACAGACAGTTCAGCCTTGTCCTTTTGCCTCAAGCACCTGTTCTGTTTCTGCTATTCTCACCTGTCCACTTTGTGCAGCCCTGCCCGGATGTTTACTGGTTCCCCATATTCACTGACACTGCCTGTGATGAACTGGTGGAAGAAATGGAACATTATGGCCAGTGGTCCACAGGTGACAACACGGTAAGGAAAAGCAGGAGCTTTTTGATTTCTGGGGCACAACATTATCCGTGCATATTTGGTGACAGCAGTCCCTTCTGTAGGAGAGCATTAGACTCCTCTGTTAAACCAGCAAACTGGAAGCAATACTCTAATTTTGTTCCTGATTAACTCTGTGATTTTTGCCCCTGTTCTTAAATGTGAATTAATTTTTCTGAGTCCTCTTTTGTGTCCTCTGATGCTACAGCGTTCAATCCTTCTGATGGTAATATTGTATACCTTAGGTTTTAATCATTGTTTGAAATGAGTTTTCCATCCTGGAAATTCTGATAAATAAATGTCATATTTATTTGTAGTGACTAGAATCAAGTGCTTTTCATTCCTGAAGTCCAAGGTTCCCATCCTCATAGGTACTTTCATGATTCTATTTCAGGACAGCAGAATACAAGGAGGATATGAGAACGTCCCAACTATTGACATACACATGAACCAAATTGGCTTTGAAAGAGAATGGTATAAGTTTCTTCTGGAGTATATTGCACCTATCACAGAGAAACTGTACCCAGGATACTATACCAAGGTACGTTATACCTGAGCATCGAAACTCGTGGTCAGCTCAGCACCTCCTCCAGTTGCAACTGTGTGAAAAGACTGCTAGAATTCTTTAGCAATGTGCATACTATTTCCCAGTACAGAGGAACTGACCCTGGAGTGTGACATAAGTATATGCATCAAGAAATACTCAATTTCCCAGTGACATTCTCCTGTTGTATTGTTGCCTTGCTCTCTTAGCAGTGGGATGCAATTTCAATATTACACCCTACTCTGCAGCTCAGTAGCCACGGACTGCTATAGCCCTGTAACGGATGTGCACTTTGTTCTTCTCTCCTGCAGACTCAGTTTGAGCTAGCCTTTGTAGTTCGCTACAAACCTGATGAGCAGCCCTCTTTAATGCCCCATCATGATGCTTCCACCTTTACCATTAACATTGCTCTGAACCGCGTTGGAATAGACTATGAGGTGAGTGTTTGCCAGCGTGACAAGAGTGCGGTACAGCCTCTGGGCAGCTGAAACCCCTTTCCTTATTCATATCTGGCTTCTTCACACTGAGGATTGCAATTAGTGACTGAGCTAGGGTAGAACATTTTTGAATGTGTCAGAACACAGGAGATTTCTCCAAACACCTCATGCTTTCAGAAGGGCTGCCAGGAGAAGGCAGAGACCCTTTCCCTGAGGTGCTTTTTGCCAAGCTGATGTGTCTCTTTTATTTCCATCAGGGAGGAGGCTGCCGGTTCCTGCGCTACAATTGCTCCATTCGAGCTCCACGGAAAGGGTGGACCCTTATGCATCCAGGACGCCTGACCCACTATCATGAAGGTCTTCCAACCACCAAAGGAACCCGTTATATTGCAGTGTCTTTCCTTGACCCCTAGAGCCATGCTTCACAGGAAGGACCTTTCCCTGGCCCTGCTCAGTGCTGACTTTGAGTGGAAACAGGGAATGCTACTGAGAGTTTCTAAGGCATTGATCAAAGTTGTTTGGATATTGATTTTTAATGGTATTTTAAGACTCCACTACTGGAAGATCTCCCTCTCTGATACTGCAGGTAATATCTAGGAATACTGCTGTAGAATTTGGAAGGAGATTTTGTGCCTTCATTTTTGATTCTGTTCCTCATCCGCTGTTTCTTGGAAATGCGATTTACTTGAACCTTCACTGATTGGTTGGCTTTACAAAAATGCTTTCTTGGACTGGAAATCCAGCTTTTTGGAGACAAGTCACAAGCTCTCTCTCCAAGTAGCTGGAAGTCCATTTTCATCCACAGCATTATATGGGACTGGATGATAGACAATAATTCCTGGATACTATTCCAAATATAAACCAACCAGGGAGCTGACTCCAGGGGTCATGATAGTTAAATGTCATACCAGATGAAACTCAGTAATAAGAGCCTGAAGATCATCTGATTCCTTACCTCTTTGCAGTCCCTGGAAGCATATCACAAAGTTCAAAGCAGCAGCAGAGGGAATATAGGTACTCCTAGTTAGCTAAGGGAAGGTCCGCTAATGATACTTTACCTCTGAGATCAAAGATAGCCTCCCTGTCTTCTATTGCTGCAGCTGAAAGGAGCAGGGATACCCAGACAAATGCAGACCACATCAGTATGTGTAAATAAAATCTAAGAAAGGGAAGGCTGAGAACAATACATCAGTCAGGAGGGCTTCACTGCTGAATCGTCTCGGCTCTATCCTACACTAAGATTGTCAAAAGCTCTTACCAATCTCTGGGTAACAGCCCAGAGGCCCCAGTGGTCTTTGGTGGGCTCATTCCAGTTCTCAGTGGTAGTTTTGATAATTTTTGTTTTTATTTTTTGCATCTAACTTGAATGGGCCATCAAAGAGCTGTTCTCTGGTACTTAGAGCAAATAATTATTCAGTGTTTCTATTACCTGAGATTCCACACCAAAACACTCCACTGCAGATGCTTCTCCAGTGGGGTTGAGGCTGGTAGAAATTAAGTGGTTGGAAAGTGCTGAGAGCTTGTGGTGAGCTGGTAGGTATAAAAATCTGTCTAGAATAGACCCGTGGTTAGAGAGGGAAGGGGGAGAAACCTTTTCTCCCATTGCCTGTGAGATACCTGCTTTGCTTATCAGACAGCATTGTGCTCTGTGTCTGCCAGACTAGTATGTTTCACAAACAGTACATTCACATCAGGATTGTCCTTAGGAAAAAAACCCTCATCTTACTTCTCTGTGTCTCCAGCTTCTACTGTCTAATTGTCAGGTTTAGAGCCCCTTCATCTAGGACGGGTTGCATTAAGGCAGGCACAATCGCTGTAGACGTGTAAATTCTGGCAGGGAACTTCACACAATTTGAATGGACCTGAGGAAGGTGACATTGACCTTTTTCCACTGGTTTCCACACACTTTTTAGGTCCATTTCAAGGCTACACACTCACATGGCCCAAGGGAGAAAAATCCAGCCAGGGACAATCAGTTTGCAAAGTAAAACAATGATAAATCTTGTTAGGTGAAATCCAGAACTATCTGTTACCAAATGAAGGGACGTGGTAGGCCAAACGTTGAACTCATGTCAAAAAGGTGTATGTATTTATTCAGTAAGGTTTGTTGTTTGTTGTTTTTTTTCCCCACTTATTTTGTTGTGTCTTTCCTGTGCCCGGTGCGGTGGTTTGGCATTCGTTACGGGCTGTGTGAGCAGGGGAACTGGCATTAAACCCTTACCCCACGGAGAGGCCGTCAGTGGGTTTGATTCCCGCGGGGGGGTGGC